TTCAAGTTACTCATATATGAAGGTATACACTGACTAGATCAAAGAATTTCTAAAATAATCAATTAACTAATTAATTAAAATTTAAAGATATCTTTGAATATGTCTGATTTAAATATACTTTGTGGAAAGATGACTTTATGGTTCAGAGAAAATTAATTTTCCAGGTTTTTGTTGTTGTTTTTGTTAGGCGTTATCCAGTCAGTTCTGACTCATGATGGCCCCGAGCCCTCAGAATGAAACACTGCTGGTCCTAGTCACCTAACAATTGTTATGTTTGAGCCCACTGCTGCTAGCACTGTCAATCCACCACATCTTCCTTTTTTTTGCTGACCCTCCACTTTTCCAAGCATGATGACCTGTCCTTCAGATAACAGGCCCAAAGTAAAAGATATGTAGTCTCACTTCTAAGGAACGTTGTGGTTGCACTCCTTCCAACCACAATGGTTTGTTCTTCTGGCAATCCATAGTACTGTCAATATTTTTCTTAAACAACACAATTCAAATGCATCAATACTACTTTGGTCTTCCTTACTCATTGTCCAAATTTTACATGTGTGTGAGGTGATTGAAAATATCATGGCTTGGATCAGGTGCACCTTAGTCCTCATAGTGGAATCCTGGTTCTTTAATGCTTTAAAGTGGTATTTTGCAGCAGATTTGCCTAATATACTATGACATTTGATTTTTAGGTATACGATTCCATGTGCATTGATTGTAGATCCAAAAAAATGAAGTGTTTGACAACTTTAATATTTTGTCCATTTTTTATATTATTTATGTGTCCAATTGTGAGGATTTTCATTTTATTTACATTCAGGTGCAATCTATACTGGAAGCTGAAGCCTTTGATCTTTATGAGTAAGTATTCCAAGTGTTCTTTACTTCCTACAAGGAAGATTGTCTCATCTGCATATCTCAGATTATTAATGAGTTTTATTCCAATTCAGATGCCATGGTTTTTTTCATATAATCCAGTTTCTTGGATTATTTGCTCAGCATACAGATTGAATAAGTATACTACAAGGATACAACCTCGGCACAAATCTTTCCTGATCCTAAACCATTCACTATTCCCTTATTTTGTTTGAATGACTGCTTCTTTGTCTATATACAGGTTCCACATGAACACAATTGTTGTATTATTAAGTGCTATCACTTACAATACTAACCCATAGCAATTCTGCACAGAGTTTCTTAGGAGTAGCTGGTGAGCTTGAACCGCTGACCTTGCAATTCAAAACGACTTTGCAGTTCAG